TTTAGGACGGTTCTGATTTTGAATAAAAAACAAAACATTATAGCGTATTTTCAGTTTCCAAACACAGATAACCCTACTGCAACATGGCCTGATGGCAAAAAAAATATTGTATGCCACACATTTTTTACTTACTGTAAGGTATAGGGTCCACCAGAAAAGCCAAGAATCCTTCTTATTCAAGCGAGCCAATGACTGCACATGAAATGATAGAACAAATGATACGCATGTTAAATGAAATGGTAAAATAACTTCAACAATTATCATTTATCAGAACGAGATTTTAGAAAAAGACACTGTATCAGACTATCAATTGCTAACAGATGCACAAAGCAACTGCAAGGGATTGCTGCCCACCTCTTGGTCGAGGGACTCAAATTTCCACACACTTTCACCCGCATCGTTAATTTCATTCCACCATCTCAAACCCACCAAAATACGCCCACTCACATTCTTAACAACCCAAAAATCAAGAGCAGCTAGCAGAACAGTGACCACGAATATGATGACAAAACTGTCGACAAATAGAGCTGAAAGTATGTAAAACGCCAACGCTGCAGCCTGAGAAATGAATCCAGGAAAAAGCGTTAGCATTTAAATTTCAATTTGGTCCTAAAAATAAAAGGAGCTATATGCACTTGACCTTGAAGACCACGTGAAAGAAACATATATTGGGGTGTGCATAGTTCTCCCCTGCAGGCTGAGCATAGAAAGTAAGAAAATTGTAGTAAGAGTTGATACTCTACAAATATTCTGTATTTCTAAGTCCATAGGTTTTTGAGAAAAAAAATATAAAGGGGCAGCAGTCAAGTTGTAGATCACGAGGTTGCATTGGTGACATTAATACACTACGCACACAAAGGAAATGCGCAGATCCAAATTTGAATTTACAACAGATGCCAAGTTATTAAAAGTTTAAAACTATAGCAAGTATGGCCCTATCCACTAATATGACTTTTTCCCATCCTCTTGATCTATTCTAGTATAACTTTTACAGAGTACAGTGACTGAGCAATAAATCATGACTATGTTGCAATAAGAATCTCCTTGACTAAGATGATCAGTAAACCAACCACAGTCAATTCACTGTTTGTTCCAATAATTTGTTTCCTCATCTACTAACAGCACCAACATGGTCATCGGTCATTTCGCTCTACATTGTAATCAGAAATAACATTGTATGAACCAAATTTATACATGTCTGGATGTTCTCAGCAGTATTTAAACTAGAATTATATGATGGAAAAGTTCATTATGGTGAAAGGCTAATTAGCAATTTTTCATCACCATGCCTACATGATTAGTCTTCCACATCGAATTTGATTTACTCGTAAAACACCACGATGACATATATTGCCAGCCTCCTGAAACAGTCTGAGCTGCCTAACTTGCCCTCGTTCTAAATATAGCATTTACCATCTTAATTTGTGCACTTCTCACATATCATCAACTATGCTCCTCTCGCACACACAGAATCACACCAAGTTTTAAATTCATAAAACTATCAATTTATCAAAACACCTGAAAATCATATCAATCTTGACATCTACATGAATTGTCCAATGTCCCCACATACAAAGAAAACTAAGCAGTGATGTCAAAGGTTTAAAAAATATATAAAATTACCTAAACACTTAAGTACAGTCTCAAAAACGTTTTGATGCATGTTAGTGTGATTAGATGGGCCAAAACAGTCCAGTCTTGAGGTAGTACTCTTTGTTCTTGAACAAGACAAGTCCATCTTTGTTGGACTGATGCAGCCAATTAAAATGGTAGACTAATATTTCATTCCATCCAATGTAGTCCAATCCCCATGGGATACTAAACCTGGGACATAACTATAATGGGCAAAATTAAGCCAAGACTATCTCTAACACCAGCTACCAAGAAGGGGTAAGATCCGTGTACACACACCCTCCTCAAACCCTATTTTTTGTAGAATTTTACTAGAACTGTTGTTGCTGCACTGATTCATGAAAGAACATGGGGGCAGGGTATACTTCACATTCTTACTTTATACAGTAAATGCCAAAATCCACAAGTAAATAAAATAATGTATCAATGCTTACATAAACTCTTATTTTTTTGATAAACGAAATTAGTCACAGTCACTCACTATTCACTAACATAGATCCCTTGTTCCAACTCTTTCCCTAACTTCATCATTCTTATCAAGTCTTCTTGCAGAAAAAACACCTTATAAAGTCATAAACTATTGTAGTAGTTAATTTGTTTAAAATCAAGCATTCCTAATCCGTCGATTCCAGTAGCTCTACCGGGAGTAAGTTTCAAACATCACCTCACATCCTACTCTTTTCTAAATCCAGTAAATCTGTAGCAATTTTTCAAAATACGATCAATTCAACTAAAGAGGGTTGTTCTTCGTTATATCATCTATTCATGGCACATGTTGCAAATTTAGTGAATACTATGACAAATTTTAAGATTCATGTACAGATACACAATTGCACGATTTGCATCGACAGATCTATCCAAACAGAATCCCGAGCAAGTCATGGCCGGAAAATTTAAGCGTCATTGTAGAAGAAAACAATATAACATTCAGCTAAGAAGCGAATAAATAATCATTAAAAAAACAAAGACCTTACAGGATTCAGATCCATTTCTGGAGAACTCAAATGCAGGAATTTTCAGGATTGCCTTAGCGGTGTGATCTGCTTCCCCTCTTCGCCTCCACCCGCGACTTTCTTTCTTCTTTTACTCAGTATTTGCCATTTGGTGCCGAGGCGTGAAAGGCTGCTTTCAATCTGTGCGCTTATTATGAGTATTCTTTTTAGACTAATTGAATCCTCTATACATTTCTTAGTAACAAAATGTTCATTTTTAAGTAAGAGTATTAGCAATGGCAAGACAAAAATGAAATGTCACACAATGACATGGGTTATTTTAATTAATAAAAATAATTCAGTCATCGTGTGACAAATGAGTGGAGTATCGTAACATACAGTGACAAGTCATTGTTTTGGTCTATTTTTGTATTTTTCAATAATTCTTAATTATAAAAAATTATTTTACACGTCTTTGATTGTTATTATTTTACTCCGTGAAAATAATAACAACCATTTTCACATAAATCAAAACACGTAACGAGCTATTACATTAAACATGTAAACTGTTAATAAATAAATTTGAAATTAATATTGTTTTTACAATATGATTTAAAATGAGATAAATAAAAATGTTGAAATATGTGCAGTGGTTTGTTATTCCAGAATGAAGCGGGGAAAACAAATTTTAGGGTGAATTTTTAACTTGAGTTTTAAAAATAAAGCAAAGAAAATATACTCCGTGTAATTGCTGGGAAAACTTATGTGGCATTGCTTTAATGTGCTAAAAGGTAAAGAATAAACTTTATTTGACAATCAAAAGAAAAAAATCACTGGAACATAAAGAATAAGCAAAAATGGAATTGGTGACGCCAGAACAGAGATTCACAAACCTGGTGACTGCCGATTGGTGACGCCGACGCCGGAACGGAGATGGTGAATGCAAGCTCTTGGCGTGAATGGCAGGCCCGCCCAATCATTATAGAAGCCCCTGTACAAATGAGCAACTTAAGCCCCTGAGTCTTGAGATAAAAAGAAACAATTCAACAAAAAAAATTGAACCATTTAAGATGCAAAAATCACCTATCAAATCAATTTAACACACTTAGATAAATATTCAAACAATGCTAAATTAAAATATTGGTGCAAAAAACACAATTGAGATATTTTGATTTGCCTTTAAGTTCAAAACTATTTACAAATTAGAAATGCTATAGTGACAAACAAAGAATCTACACAAATCACAAACTTAGTATATTATTAAGATCTCACTAGTCAATATGAACAAGATGCACTCAAATAATTAAAAATATATAAAATTAAAATCACAAAAAGCACATTTATAAATTTTGTGAACTCTTTGTTTGTAACTAACATTTCTTTTCACAAATGAAATTGTAATGTCTACAAAGTAAAAGCTGAAAAAGGGAACAAAAAATAGTTTTTAACGCCTAAAAAATATAGTGCCAAATAAATACTGAGTAATCTAAAACTGAAATTGTAATTTCTTATTTTTTTTCTTTGTTCAATCCAGGGAAAACATATTCTTTCAAAAATTAATTTTTAGAACAGTAAAACAATGAAACAAATCAAAATAGGTTAAAAAGAGTTGCAATGAAAATCAATTAGAGTAATTAATGGTTGATCATTGACAAAAAAAGAATAAAAATCTAAAAGTATAAGTCATGCAATTGAGGAGTGCCATTGACAAAAAATAAATTGAATTAGGAAAAAAAACTAAAGCATAAAAATCAAGAACTCACCACTCCAGAGGAGAAGCTGAGGAACTTTGTGTTCGACTAGGGGGAGCCGCGGAGGAAACGATGAGGCGGAACATTGAATAGTCCTTTCTTATTAATTATTGAGCTTGAGTAATAGAATAAATCTAGTATTGGACTAAAGATAAAATTAAAAATGGGCCCTTATATTTCGGAGGCCCTGTGCAAGTGAACCTAATGCACTTGCTTATGGGCGGGCCCGGTGAATGGTGAGGACCGAGAACTCTAGAAGACGAGAACGACGGCTGGGAATCTGGGATTTGGGACTTTTTGCGACTTGGGAGACGGGTTGGGAATTAGGTAGGGAGAAGGGCTGGGAATTGGGTTTTTTTAAGTGGGCTATAACAAACATATTTGGTCTGGGCTTACATATATAATATAGTATTTAATAAACATATTATGGGCTCGGTTATTCGGTCGGTTTCGGTTAACATCGCCCAAAACCGAAACCGATAACCGAATTAACCGAAATTAAAACCGAAAATCGAAATCGAATTTGAAATTGCGGTCGGTTCGGTTAAAGTGTGTCGGTTAATCGGTCGGTTCGGTTAAATTGCTCAGCTTCTACCACTATATTTGTACTAAGCCTTCCACTACTTTTAATTAAAAAAAAATCTAACATTCCGGAACTGTATTGGACCCGAAACCGGCCGGTTCTAGTACCTCACCTCCCCCGAGCAGGTACCGCTGTAGCAGAACCGGATCCTGAAAGGGGCCGGCCTACCCGTAGTGGGTTCTATTGGGGGCAACAAAAAGAAAGGAGATAAAGAGTGGGGCCGGAGCAGTGTGTGCGTGCCTTATCCACATTACAAAGCCACACATTCAAAGTCAAAAACTCACTGTCTCAGAAACCTACAGAGCATTACGCAAACAAAAATGGTGAGACTGGTGCCCAATAATCTTCTTGCACAACCCAAACACCTCCCTTCTTTGCCCTCCATCTATTCATCATCATCTTCTTCTCGCTCTGACTTCTTCAATGGCGCCCAGTTACCTGCAACTGCCCAGGTGAGAATCAAAAGGCTTGTCTCTGCTATGGAAATTTCAGCAGTTCTAACCATGACCCATATTATTATTATTATTATTAAAATTCATTAATCATTGAAATTTAAGTAACCTGGTACTGGTTAATTAGCAGTTCTGGGGGGCATTTGATGATTTTGATCTTGTTTTTGTGCTTTGTGTTCATATGCTACTCTCAATTTAAGGCCTAAATATTCAGAATTTGGGTGCTGGGCGATTACAAACTCACATAATAACTGAAATTTTCAAAATTCAATAGAGAAAATGAACTGGATTTGCCAATTATTCAACAATGTCTGCAGTCTTCCTTGACAAAATTCAATCTTTCACCTTAGATTCACCATATTCCATGTTCTTTTACTAAAAGAAGAAGTGTACGAAACATGTCATTTATTAGGATTAGATGATGAATGCTTTTTGTCATGGACCTAAGGTCACAGTGTCACACAAGAACATTCTCACTGCATATCCTTATAACAATGTATTGCCTATATGTGTGTCCTTGCTTAGGGCCTTAGGCGGTCATGTTCTTGTTACATGTGGAAATGGATTAATGCGATTCATTTATCGTTTTTCGTGTGAATGTAGTATAAGAAGAAGGTGGCAGTATGTGAACCAAATGGGGGACTGCAGATTTCTGCAAGTGCCAAAAAGGTCCTTATAATGGGGGGCACCAGATTCATAGGTGTCTTTTTGTCAAGGCTTCTTGTCAAAGAAGGGCACCAGGTTCATATATTTATGGCAACTGGTTTTTGGGTTTTGGTTGGAAAATCTATTATTGTGCCCTTGATGTTAAGCACTGTATAGGTCACTCTTTTCACTAGAGGAAAAGCCCCAATTGCACGCCAATTTCCGGGAGAATCAGATGGTGACTTTGCTGATTTCTGTTCCAAGGTTGTCTGCCAATTTCACCCATTCATTGTCACTACAAAGAGCCATACTTGTTTACTGCTTCACTTTGATCTTATTCTAAGAAGTTTATCATATGTTAACATTTAAACAAACAGATATTACACTTGAAGGGAGATAGAACGGATTATGATTTTGTTAGGAGAAGTATATCTGCTGAAGATTTCGATGTTGTGTACGACATAAATGGTATGTATGTGTGTATGAATGATGGTTAAACAACATCCTTTTGTCTTTAGCATTGCAAGTTCAAATCATATTTTTCATCTTTTCTTTTTGCACTTGGAGATGATACTTTTTTTAAAAATAACACTAATAATTTCAGGGCGTGAAGCAGTTGAAGTAGAACCCATATTGGATGCATTGCCTAATCTTGAACAGTAAGCTCGAAGCTTGGGGGGTGTGGGGGACGAGGAGGAAATGTGGAGGCGGGAGAAACGAGGGAGGGAAAATGGGAGGAAGAGTTTGCTGTTTTCTCTCCTTTTCCTTACATCCTCCTTTTCTTTTCCTTTCTAATCAAACACCCAAATGGTTTTCCCTTACTATTTTCTCTTCTGAATCCATGAACCAAACATTTTCTTACACTATGTTTGGTTAAAGGAAATTGGAAGGAAAAACATAATTCTCTTATTTTTCTCACCAAAATGAGAGGAATTTAGTTTTCCCTCCTCGTAGTATATTTTGCCTTCTCATCATTTTATTCCCCTTCCAGTTTCTCTTTCTTTTCCTTTCTAACCAAACAAGAAAAACTCTTTTCCTTTACTATTTTTGCTTCTTTTCCCTTCTGAATCCATGAATCAAACATAGTGTTAGGATTGGAGGGAAGTATTCCTTTTGAGTTTTACTTTTCTCGTGCTGAATCCTTAGGTACATATACTGCTCCTCTGCTGGTGTTTATCTCAAAACTGATTATTTGCCCCACCACGAAGTTAGTATGTACATTCACTTCATCTATATTTTTGTTCTTCAGCTTTGATTTACAATCTAAATGCATCTGAGTGAATGTCTTGACACACTATTTTTAAACATACAACAAAAACCAAACTTGGGTTGCTGCTGCTATTGACAGACAGATGAAGTTGATGAAAAGAGCAGGCACAAAGGGAAGCTGGAGACAGAGAGGCTATTGCAATCACGAAGCAGCCTTAGTTGGACTGCCGTAAGGCCGGTCTATATATATGGGCCCTTGAACTACAATCCAGTCGAAGATTGGTTTTTTCACAGGCTCAAAGCAGGCCGCGCTATCCCAATTCCCAACTCCGGGATGCAAGTGACCCAACTTGGTCATGTCAAGGTTAGTCAACCAAATGGCATTCGTTAGTTTAACACAAGAATTTTGGGATTTGAACCAGTATTGTATGCAGGATCTTGCAAGAGCCTTTGTTCAGGTTCTTGGCAATGAAAAAGCAAAGAGACAAGTGATTAACATATCTGGAGAGAAATATGTCACCTTTGACGGATTTGCAAGGGCATGCGCGAGGGTAAGTGTTCATCATCATCTTCTTCTTCTTCGTGTCTATCTGAAAGGCATTGGGAAATAGAGAAATGACTGAAGAAGTGTATGTATATATGTGTGTAACTTTGTGTTTTTAACAGGCTGGTGGGTTCCCGGAACCTGAGATTGTTCACTACAACCCCAAGAAGTTTGATTTTGGTAAAAAGAAAGCATTCCCATTTCGTGACCAGGTACCCGTTTGGCAGACATTTTCATTTTCACCTTACAAGATCTTCATTGTTCCTGCTTGGGAGCGAGCCCCAGACTTTAAAAAATCTTTTTTTTTGTTTTCTTGGAATACATGAACACTATATTATGTTGTGTTTGGAAATTGTAGCATTTCTTTGCGTCGATTGAGAAGGCAAAGCAGTTGCTGGGGTGGAAACCGGAATTCGGGCTGGAGGAAGGTCTTAGGGACTCCTACAACAAGGACTTTGGCCTCGGCACCTTCCGGAAAACAGCTGATTTCTCAACGGATGATTTGATTCTTGGGAACTTTTCCTAAAATCCTCCTTTTCATTGTGCACATTATTCCTGGAAATGAAAATGAAATGGTTCTGCAGCACAAGCATAGATTTATTAAAAGAAGAGCTAAATGAATTTTTATTGCCAACATATATTTAAAAAAATAAACAAATACTCTGAAAACTTAAAAAATAATTGCAATGTGTGGGTCCATTATCTCCTCCCCATTTTTTTCTCCCAAAAAACCTCACCACCATAAAGATATCACATTTCTGCAATGGCCAACCATTGTCTTGAGTGATTTCCTTCTCCAATATCTCTTCAACATATATCTGTCTCAAACAAATTTCTCCTCAACTTGCACCCAAAATAGCTTAGGCCTTTACNTACAACCCGTGAATTTACCATCTTAGCCTCGTCCAAACATCCATCGCCCTCTGTGCAATGGACATGGACGAGCTCAGAAGAGTTTTCCAAATGTTCGACCAGAACAGCGACGGGCGGATCACCAAAAAGGAGCTGAATGATTCGTTGCAGAAGATGAGAATCTTCATGCCAGAAGAGGACCTCGCCAAAATGATTGAAAAAATTGACGCGAACGGGGACGTGTGCGTGGACATAGACGAGTTTGGGGCAATGTACCAGTCAATCATGGACGAGAGGGACGAGGCAGACGGGGATATGAGGAAGGCATTCGACGTGTTTGACCAGAACGGTGACGGGTTCATCACCGTGGACGAGCTGAAGTCGGTTTTGGCATCGCTGGGACTCAAGCAAGGGCGCACGGTCGAGGACTGCAAGAAGATGATTGTGACGGTGGATGCCGACGGCGATGGAATGGTGAATTTCACTGAGTTTAAGCAGATGATGAGAGGGGGTGGGTTTGCTGCTTTGACATGAAAAAGAAGAAAAAAAAACACACACACACACACATATGATATTGTAAATATCATCATATACTAACTAGCACGGACATTTTTGTTGACAATATATTTTACTTGTAAGTTGTAAATATGATATTTTTTACTGGCTTGGTCTCATGAAGCGAATCCAAGAACCATGACATTTTTTGAATAGGTGGATTTGAAGGAATTTTTTTTGATGGAAATATGGTATAAATAGATATGTCTAAAAATCAATTCTTTCAGTTTTCCTTCCTTTTTCTTTCTCCTCTCAGGGAAATGCCTTACCCTTTTCACTTCACTTTTTACTTTTATTTTATAACATTTATTTTAATTTATATAATTAAACTAAAATAACAAAAATTACTTCAAACATTTAAAGTTATACTACCTCCGTCCCAATTTATAACGCCTGTTTCGGTTTACGATGTTTGACTGAAATTATTTTCAAACCATTTTATATGACAAATGATATAGAATTAAAAAATAAAAATTACATATTAAAAAACTACATCAAAAGATCTACAAAACTAGTAGTGAAAATAATATTTTATTTTATCAAATTGCTAACGAAAATAGAGAAAGAAAGTGAATAAAGTTTGATCCTGTGAATAGTAAACAAGCATTATAATTTGGGACGGAGGGAGTACATTTTAATCAAATTAAAAGTAATAATAAAATTGAACATCTCTGCATATATACTTTTTAACCAATGTATGGAAGAGTTGCCCCGTAGGCCTCGAGCAAACACACTTTTTGAGAATAAATTTGTGATCACATTCCCATAAAGTGTTATTAAGTACAACTAACTTCATGATCAATTCAAGATTTTTGTTGAATTAAGCTTTATTTAACCGAGTAGTATTCTTACATTTTGGTCTTCCCATTAAATCTGGAGTAACATAATACAACCCAAACCGAATGGTCTATAACATCAGAAACTTTGTCTTGGTCTTCTTCGTTGAAGAGGATGTTGTTTACTCTTTGGACATTTTGGGAACGCCACTTTATCCCCCCCCCCCCCAAATCCTCTAACTGAACATCTCATATCACAACGAGAACCGTCGCACCGCAATTCAGGCTAATATATTGATCCAATCAAATTTTATCTCGTAACTGATTTGTTTGATTGCATTTCTTGAATTCAACTTATTACATGCGAGGATCTCTTCATAACTCGATAGTATAACGAATCGCATACGAAACGGTTTCAGATCAAAGTTATTTCGGGGTATACGAAATACTTCAATCGGATAAGACGTTAATCCACAACAAGCACTCGAAATCTATCCCTCAATCCATACCACGAGACTCTATTTTATAGAGTCGAAAATTTTCATGATCGGACATGAACGTTCGTGTACATTCGCACGGGGAAGAAGAAAGGCGCGACTTTGAACAAAAGGTGTCTTGCGGTTTTAGGGTCTATTTCGACGTTATCCACTTGTTCGAGTCCTTTACCGTTTTGGACTCCGATCACGAAAATCTTGAGGATTTTCATAAAGAAACAACGTCCGAAATAAAAAATTTCCAAGCCTACCCCGGCAAGGGGCTCTGCCCCTTGGACCCCACTACCCGGGGGCTGCCGCCTCCGGACCCCTAGAGTGAATTTGTAATATCGTTGAACGATCGCGCACTCCGCGCCTCCTAACTCGTTTTACAACGTATATTTAAATTCTTGTCCGATCTAAGTAAATCCAATTACACAAAATAAACCGATGACACTAAAATCACCAACATAGAACAGAAATTGATATGTCAGAATTATCTACAGCATGACGGTTTATTGGATCGTTGAACAGTCTAGAAAATGAAGAAGGCGATAAGGAAGAGAGATTATTGAGACTGTCGTAGTCAATAATCAACCTCACCTGACTGTTATTATAGAAGCAAATTGTTACTTTACTGACACTTCCCATTCTGTTGTTGCGTAACTTATTTTTTGAAATGCTAACTGATAAATAGGTACCAAGAAATTCATTGTGATAAGAACGTTACTATCATGATTTGCAATTTTGAGGATCTGAACAAAATATTGGCTGAATTTTCTTCCCAATTGGCTATTGCAGCATAATCACTGTGATAGAGTCATTGGGAGAGTTGTGCTGCAAATTGTAGAGGACGGCTACACAACACATCAAGGTAATGCCATATTCTTCTTTCCCTTTCAATTTCTTTTGTCTTTAATTTAAGATTCTTTGATTTTATTAATTTTGGGCCCAAATTGGAACCAAGGTTGGAGACACCCGAGATTTTGAACATGCCGGGACCCAGTCACTCACTCGGGTCTAAATCTTGACCAGGTGAGCAGTTTGGTTCTTTCTTGATTCTTCCCTGACTTTGCCCAAGTGAAAAGTGTTCTGGAAAAGATATCGAAGATCTCGGTAGGCATGATGTTCCCAGTCTGATCGGGCTTTTTTTCTGTTGGAACCGATGTGCGACCGATGCTCCCTAGACCTGGCAAAAAATGAGCCAACCTGTTTGTGACCCGAAACCCGACCTGAAAATAATGGGTTTTGAACAGAGGTTTTGATGACCGAACCCGAAGTTGACCGAACCCGAAATGACCCGCTAAAAATGGCTCAAACCCGACCGAACCCGAACCCGACCTGACCGACCCGCTAAAGTAAGAATTTTTCAAAATCATACACTCTACTACTCGTTTTTAGTGTATAAATTTATATTTTTAGATAAAATTTTAAATATATTGCATGATTATCTTACTTTTCCCAAAACTTCAGCATTTCTAAATTCCTTATATTGATTTATATATCTAAAAAAATACTTCAGAATTTAAAATAAAATAATCTAATAAATTTAATATTTTTTTGATATTTTAAATTTATTAAATTGAAAATGCAAGTGTTAATGTGAATTTAAAAATTTAAAAAACCAAAGTCATAACACGTTGGGTCGACCCGAACCCGATGACACTGGGTCATGAACATGCAGTTCTCAACCCGAACCCGAATTGACCCGAACCCAAAATAACCCGAACTCGAAGTGACCGAACCCGACCTGACCGACCGATTTGCCAGCTCTAGGTGTTCCCAATTTGATTAAGCTCGGACTTATTGGAAAATATGTGCAAGACCGGTGTAAGACCAGTGTACCAGTTCGACTGGGTCACATATTTTCATCTTTTTTGTTTATACTGCACAAGACCTGTGTGAGACAAGTGCCCACGGTCTTTCAATTATGTGCAAGATCGGTGTGAGAATAGCGTACCAGGCCAGACCTGTGTCACATATTTCTATTATTTTGTTATTTATATAGAGCAAGACCGTTGTGATAACAAGCATACGAGGTCCGAGCCTGTGTCTTAGTTTGTCCACCCGGGCTGCGTCCAAACTATACGGGTGACTTTCGCGTGATGTAGGTCTGGATAGGTCCGATGAAAGGATTGCTTAATGAAGTAGATATTGCCGGATTTTGATGTGTCTTCGACTTATCCGGTCTGACCGGTCAACATGTTCACCTTGCTAGCTCCCATCCTCTAACCCGATCAGGTTGTTTTTTATGCTCTTCCCTTTCCCGCAAGGCCCGAGCCATGTTCTGGAGACATCTACACTCTTTCGTACCGTGTGAATTCATCTTGTGGTAGGTACAATACCTTTCTGCCGGGACCATTCTTGACCTTCCTTTTCTAGAGTTTTGACTTCATAGCACTTCTCACCTCGGAACTCATTTGTGACCGAGTCACCATGAGGCCAGGGATCGTTCGAACAGGCGTGGTTGCCTCCATCACACTTTATCCCGGGCTTATGTTTTAAATGGGCTAACTCAGTTTCTTTCTTGGCCTGATACTGTTCCTCTGCTTCAACATATTCCCATGCAATGTTGTAGGCCTCCTGATAGGTACCGGGATGTCTCTGCAAAATTAAAATTATATATATAGCTCCCTAGCCAGAGGCCATTTAGCAAGAGTGACAACATGGTCTTGTCGTCTATATCTTCCACCTGGTTGACTTCTTCCCTCCACTTCGTCAAGAATTGGGTGAGGTTCTACGACTCCCTCTGTCCGGGAGTGCTCAGGTATGTAAACTTCTTTCTCTTCGTGTAGTTATCTTGAAACTTGGCTTTGAGTTTGTCGGTAGCCCTTCAAAAGAATCAATTCTGACTGGAGGGAGCTTGTTAAACCATTCAGCCGCTCGCTCACGTAGCAACTGGAAAAAGGAGGCATTTTTTCTCGCTGGTACATCCCATTGTGGCACTATGGTGGAAGGAGTTGAGGTGTATCTAAGGATCTTCCTTGCCCATGAACTCAGGCATCCCATCTTTGCCTTCCGGAGAAAAGGCGTTAGATGGACTCTCGTGGCGAACGGTGAGTCCGCCAATTGATGTTTATCTTTGTCGCTCTTCCCTTCCACTTTCCTAGCCTCTCCAGCCTTTCCAACATAGTCTTCACCTTGTGGGGGATTCCCCAGTCTACCGTGTGCCAGTTTGCATGGTTGGCTTTCTGCTCTCCCTTCCCTGCGGGACACTCGGGACCGGGTGGGTTCCCTCCTGTTATTGACCGGGAGGGCTGGGAACGGACAAGCTCGACCTTCTTTCCCTTGCCCAACGAGTCAAAGTTACTGACATAGGTTGCCCTAAGTCCAGCCTTGACCTGGCCAATTTCCTCTCACGTTCATCTCTCTCTCCCATCCTGTTAAAGGCAGAGTACCTAGATGTTGTAAACATTGGTGCCCTACCTTTCTTCTTCTTGTGAGCACGGGTAATATCCAATGTTTCATCATCACTCTCGATCGAGATGCAGTGATCATCTAGAGAGCTCTGAGGATGGCGTGATGGTCCAGCAACATTCATGACCCCAACCAAGTTGACCAGGGGCACCGTATTGACCACTTGGGGCTGGAAAGGTGATGGTTACAGCACCAACGTCTGGATGGGTGCAGTCGGCATGGGAACCGGATGTGGTAGTGATCTTGCGCCTGCTATTGTAAATGGAAACATACCCGGGAGGAAAGACATTCCTCCGACCTGCTGGCACATGGCCATCACCTGGCCAAAGCCATGGATGGCCTGCATGTTGGCCGGGTCGTTTACGAACTGCACCATGCTCGGCGGGAACGTCACCCTTGGACCAGCCGAAGGTATGAGGAATGGTACCATATGCCCGGGAGATGGTATAACAATAGGGGAAGCCATGACTTGGCTGACACCCAACGACATTACAACCGTATTGATGGGTATATCCTTATACCCGACCCGGATAACCAGAAGGGACATGTCAATATATGACCGGTCACTTTTATCAATCACCAAATGAGGTTAACTCTTAGATTGGGACGGGTCAAAAGTTGACTGGTCACTTCTTCTAAAAAAGTGGCCGGTCACATTTTGGGCGATAGCCAAAATGTCGCCTAATGTTACAAAGGGCATTCTAGAAGACCAGAGACGGGTTGAGCGCAAAGAATGACCGGGTAACCTTTGAGAGAAGGTGACCGCTCATGTCACTTTACTTTGCAAACATTGGTCCAGTATCTCAGGCATGGTGAACCACGTCAAAGATCGAGGGACCACCCCGCCGTTCGTCCATCATGAGGCAAACAGTGAAAGGAATATTTGTCATTTTGCAGGGCTGATTGGATTGAGAATATCCATTTATAGTCTTTGATTGAACAGTACATGTCTTGGCTTATAGTTGCTAAATTCACTAATTGAATAGTAGATTGATTATGTACAGTGACCTTCCTCCGGGTTTCCTATTTTGTCCATGGATGAACAGGGGAAGGTCACAAATCCTCCTCTATAAATATGATGATATTGGATTGAGGAGGGGATCCAATTTTTCTCTCACTAAAGTTCACTCTTGAGATAGAGTAAGAAATATAATTCGGACTGAGGAGATTTACCCGGTCTAGGTCATACTTTGTGTTCTTGTTGTGTGTTTTATATTACGGGTCGAGTGTGTCCAGGTCAAACCCGGTTAACCCACCCAGCTATATTTACACCATCACGTATAAGGGGTTGCAAGAGTGGTGACCGGTACGACCACTGCTTCAGTGGTTACCCAAAATGTCTACCAACAAACAAAATGCCGTTGTTAGCTCTGTTCAAGAACGGGTAACCACTGAAGCAGTGGTCGTACCGGTCACCACTCTTGAAACCCCTTATACGTGATCGTGTAAATATAGCTGGGTGGGTTAACCGGGTTTGACCTGGACACACTCGACCCGTAATATAAAACACACAACAAGAACACAAAGTATGACCTAGACCGGGTAAATGGTGTTTTTGTGAGTAGGCTTTCTAGATGAAGAAAAAAACCTAAACGATCCCATGTCTCGGCCCAAAAAATGATGGTGTAAATTATCACTGGGGCAAACTACTCTAGACCGGGTCTAAAATGATTTGGTGAATTTAGGAATTAAAGTGCTACAAAAAAATTAACTGGGAGAACTGTAGGTGAAAACACCTGTAATCTAATTGTAATTAAGTATTGGAGTAGTACATGGAGCTATTACAATCTCAACTCTAGAGAGATAAAGTTCGGATCCCTTCTATTGAGGGTTACAAGGCTATTCATAGTGGAGCCCATGGGACAAGACAAAGAATGCCGATGTCGACCCACATTCCTAGATGGTGCGAGGTGACTTTCCTTATCATGTAGCGCTTGTCCTACTCATTTGTCGGTGCTGATAACACCTTTCTTGGCGCGTAGTGCTTGTACAAGAATATCTGAATCTTCTCCACGATCTTTAGTCGCTACCGTCCAACCAAGCTTGGATTATTCTTACCAACACATGTACGCCCAAGCTGACCACCCAGTACGAGTCCCAAAAACATGGTCGAGTGATTTTCTGAAGGAACATTTGATCACTCGAGGATCCCCATGCAGTGTCATACTAGTTGACCGGGTGCCCAATAGTCACCCGAGTGGTCTTGGTTAAACCCCACCCGGGCAAGGCACAGATCTACCCAAACAATCCTGCTGCACAGTACCTGGAACTTGCCCGGGTGGTCCTGGCATGGCCTGAATAGATTACACCCATCAAATAGTATACATGATGATATTTTAAGAGTACAAGAGGCAACAATTTTAACAATTATACTCTCAGCGTCATATAAAAAATTATTTATTTTGTCTTCACGAAAACTTAAAAAAGTATGAAAAAGATAAGAATATTAAAAAAAATAAGTGGTTAAATTCTTTTTAAAATGGAATGAAATATATTGGATTGTGTGTGTGTGTGTAAAGAGAAAGATAAAGAGTGATTTTTTTTGAAATATTTACAAATAGAATATTATGTTCGCATTTTCCAATAATTGGTTATTGTTAATGTCTTAATGATTTTCTTTTTTTACATTTTCAGTATATTACTCATTTTTTTAGTTTCACAAACATAAATCTACAATAATAATGATAATAATAATAATAATACTCCTTCCGTCCCAAAAAAGAATTACACTGTTCACTATTCAAAAATCACAAAAAATTTTGTTTATTTGTGTGTTTTGATTGATTATTTGATAAAATAAAATATTCTTGTCACCTTTTGTTTTGTCAAACTTTTGACATAGTTTTTAAATATCTAAGTTTTATTTATATATTTCTATACCAATCTTTTAATAAATTGAAATGAAAAAAGTTAACATTTTGCTTTGTTTTGCGTAAAGTGTAAAACATTTGGGGGACGGAGGCCGTAAACACTTCTTATAAACACTAACCTGTCCATTTCAACCATATTCTCCACAATAAAAGAGCCCCATTCTCTGCATTGCCACCATACATTTTTAAACTGCTCTTTGTGCTGCAACAATAACAGAAGGAATGAAAAGTAAATAAAATATACATTATTCAGAACACTGGAAGGTGTCCTAAGAGCATATGAAGGTGAAAATGGTCCAATGATAAGTGATAATTCAGTGAATAAAGTGGAGCAGGACTTACTTTCATATTGGACTAGATCAGCATATGAGATTAGTCCAACCTTGGAGTTCACATTCATGCCCTTTTCCTCCTCCAAAAAATTCATAGCTGCTGCAAGTCCCTTATTTTATGGCCTGCTTATAATGTGGTGGGGCTGAGGGAGAATAAAAAATTGGTTCAAATTCAATAAATAAATTTTAGATATGTGTCTGAACTCATTATATTTATGAACTATATATCATATGAAAATTTAAGAGAGAGCATGCTCTTTACACTTTACTCCACTCATTCCCTATGGCTATACTTGACACTCGAAAAATGGTGCCCAAAAATAAAAAACTGATTTTTGGGGACAGATTTTACAAAGGAAAACATGATAGAATGTTATATTTGATTAAACTTGTTAAGCTTTTACATGTATGTACAATATTGTCTTTATACAATAAGAATGTGAGAGTGTTTCAATAAGCTTGCAAGTGATAGTCCTCTTCCAATATCCAACATTTAATATTTAACCTCTTTGGTTTTCAAACAATGATATCTTCTTCAGAAATGTTGTCCAAGTCCTCTTTCACTTTCATGAACCCAGACTAAACGAGTAGTTTCCATTTTTTGAATTAATAATTTGTACTTGAAAACCAAACATGGCAATTATCCAATCTAAGAGGTCGAGCTCCCGAGCTCTGTCTTTGGGGTCAAAATGAGGCTGACCAACTCGATCCGTGTGTGCTTGAAAGGGCTGGCACAGGCCCACAGCAGTTCTAACCTGGAAGAAGTATTAAAAATCATTATGTACCCCAGCCCCACCATTTTTTTCCATTTCTATTTTCTTTCCATAGCATTTTTGGGGTACCAAACAGACTCTATAAGGTAACTAGGTAAGGTAAAGATAAAAGAGGTACCGAAATTGACGAGACATATCATGAGCATAAGGTTTCCCACCCCGGATTAGCACACCCACTTTCCACATCATAGTGTATTGTTCCTCTATCCCACGTTCTTTGACCTGTTACCAAAAATTGTGACACGAACAATCGCCATTTTCAAAGTGATGGAAACGGTAGGCATCCCTAACGACAATGGCCCGATTTTCAACCTTAGACACACACTTAATCCAGTTGTGGCAGTCATTACAGACGCGAAGGTTCTTCATCACACATAGGGGAATGTGGTTTGACAAGTTCAGAAGTCCAAACGCAATGGCCAGCTTCTCGCTGTGTACAAACGCAGTGGGGTCCTTCTGCTCCATCTCCAAATCATTCCAAAGGCTGTTGTTGTCTTGTACGTAGCCCACTCCAGTCGCACGTTCATTCAGTTCCACCACAAACCTATGTATCTCACCTGCCATCGGATGCAACCTATCACCGACAAAAAATGCATGAATTTTGTTTTTCACTTCAATCCAACTTCGTCCGGGCTCTTTCTTAACACCCATGTCTTTCATTAGTTCCCTTGTGGAATTTCTGTAATCCCATCTCCCTACAACTGCATACAGGTTTGATAGAAGAACATAGGTCGCCGAAGCTTTGGGCTCCAGTTCCAAGAGGTGGTCCCCAGCAAATTCCCCGGTTTCAATGTTCTTATGAACAGTGCAAGCACTCAGCAGGGTCCTCCAAACCATCGCATCAGGTGGAATTGGCATGGTCTCCACGAAATCTCTTGCACGTTGCAGTTGACCGGCCCGTCCCATGATATCAACAACACATGCATAATGCTCTGGTCTTGGTGCCAAACCGTGATCTTCACTCATGGACTTGAAGTAGCTAAGCCCCTTCTCCACCAGCCTCACGTGGCTGCAGGCTGTCAAAACACCCACAAAGGTGACATGATTCGGTGCCACCCCTGCCAGTTTCATTTCCTCAAAGAGTTGTATTGCTTCGTTTCCAAGTCCGTGTTGAGAATATCCAGTGATCATCGCATTCCACGAAACTTGATTCCTGCAATGCATTTCCATGAACTCTCTCTTAGCCTCACCAAGGCTCCCACATTTCGCATACATTGTGATCAACACATTGGAAGATTCTGTTTTGGAGTCATAACCGGTTTTTACCATTCTAGCGTGGATGTGTTTCCCTTGTTTGATATTTGCCATGTTAGCAGCTGCACTAACAGCAGACCCGTATGTATAAATATTAGCTTCCACTCCACAATGATTCATTTTTGAAAAAACTCTTAACGCTTCCTCGCAGTATCCACTCTGGGCAAACCCCGATACCAAACCATTCCATGAAATATTGTCTTTAGAATCAATCTTGTTAAACGTCATATGAGCATCATGCACTTCACCACACCTAGCATATAGGCAAACAAGTGCATTGCCAATTGATATATCAGATGTGTATCCACAGACAATTGATTGAGCATGAACTTGTCTCCCTTGATTAAGTGCTTGAATTCCAGCACATGCGGTTATTGCACTGGCAAATCCTATATTGTCTGATTGAATACGCCGGTCCTGCATTTGGCGAAAAAGCCATATTGCTTCATCAAAGAGATCGTGTTGAGTGTATCCAGCAATCATAGATGTCCAAGACACAACGTCTTCTTCGTTATCGATATTGCTGAAGATTTCCCGTGCTGCATCCAAGTTGCCATGCTTAGCATACATATCAATAAGAACACTACAAACATAAACATTTGGTTGAAATCCAGTTTTTATGACTAGGCTATGTATTTGCTCGCCTAGATCCATATCACCCACAAATGTACAAGTTCTCAAAATGCTAGGATAAGTGTATTGATTAGGTTGCAGACCCTTAGCCTGCAATTGGGAAAAAAGGCGACACGATTCAATTAAGTCCCCTTTCTGTCCATAAGCCACTAGCATGACATTCCACAAGACTATGTTTTCCATATGCGTTGTTTGGAAAAAATCACGGGCAGTTTCTGTATCTGCACATTTGACATAAAGATCGAGTATTGATCCTTCGACAATAATATCTGAACAAAGGCCTGCCTTTGTTGCATATGAGTGCAGCTGCCTTCCCTTTTGAAGATCACCACAAGACGCACAAACACTCAAGAGGCTTGAAATTGAAACACAGTCCGCCTTTATGGAATCCATTTGCATTTTACCAAACAGTATGAGTGCCCTCTCACTAAACCCTTGCATCGCAAAACCTGAAATCAGTGTGTTATAAGACACTCTGTCCCTGAAATTCATTTCAGAGAATATTTTCTCTGCAGACATTAAGCCTCCATTGCGAGAGTATAACGCTAAAAGAGCATTACGCACAAACACATCACATAAGTATCCCCACTTCAAGATTACAGAATGGAGTTGTTCTCCCAGTTCAAGAAATGATAGCTTGGTAGTGGCACTTAAAACACTAGAGAAAGCATATGGAGTTGGAATCACTCCCAACCTACGCATATCAATATAGAGAAAAATTGTATCTTTTTTGCGCCCATTCTGAGAGAATCCGGTCATCATGACAACCCATGAAGCACTGTCCCTTGAATTCAGATCCTCAAAGACTTTTTCAGCAAAGTCGACCAAACCATTCTTAGAGTACAAATCAATCAAGAAATTGCAAACGCTGCAGCTTCCAACAAAACCATATTGCAAAACCATAGCATGTATCTGCTTAATCGCCTGCAAATTAGATGCTATCTGATGAGCACCACAAGCTCTCAGAACACTGGCAAATGTACTCATGTCTGGACGGACACCTTCATTCATCATCCGCGAAAATATGTAAAAAACCCTTACATCTTTCCTACACCCAGATATGAACTTATTCCACATAGAAACATTTGAAGTCCATGAAGGCGCGTTACGCAGAGCTGGTAATGCGCCTGCCAGATCCTCATTGCACACATACAGATAAAAAAGGCGGTTTTCGATAGTCGTATCACTGTCAAAACCCAACTTCAAAATTCTCCCATGGAGCTTTTTAGCATCAGGGACAGATCCACTTCTAGTATAACAATCTAGTAACCTTAAACAAGAACTAAAACTAAGATTCCCATCATTTTTTTCGGTGCAAAGAGTGGGATTTAAAGAGCTATTGACTTCATTGTCTTCATCCGTGAAATCATCATGAAGAAACTGGGAAGCAGCACTTGCAGTAGTAAAAGGAGCAACCTTTAGCAACCGGAAGTGCTTCGAACAAGTGGAATGCAAAGTTTCTAGCTGCAGTTCATAAATTAATGAAAATTCAGACGAACGGAAAGAAATTATCAAATTAATAAATGCAGTAGGCTAAATCAGTACATACAGTGCATTTACCTTGAGAAGTGAACGAACGAAACCATCAAAAATCCTGCTCTGCATAATAGACAACCATAAAATTCAAGATTTCGATTATTAATAATTAATTACAGTATATAAATGGATTTCGATTATCACAATCTCTCATCAATCCCCGCCCTACCAACAGCACAATTGGCGATTTGGGTTTTAGAAGAGGTTTTGGTTGGGGAATCGATCGGGAGATGTGTTGGATAAGAAGGGCGAGGATAAAATATTTCTTACTAGGGGGAGTAAGCAGTTTGATTTTTAATTTTGAAATTTATTTGATAGATCTTATGAATTGTTTTTATAATTATTTACCCTACAATTTTATTTAATTGAATTACAAAGTTTGTTAATGTTACTTAAAAAATTTATATCAAACGAATGTAATAGAGATTGGACATCATCAAAATACAGGCCAGGCTGGATTTCGAGTCACGCCGAGATGCTATATTACGAAAATTTTTTAGACTCGAGTGGGGTCCGGCCTGTAAAGTGAGCCTAAGAATGGAAGCTCAAGCCCGACCGGCATGGATATACGTGGGCTTCGGACCAACCTGGTCCGCATTACAAAAACTCATAAATAATTTTAAAAAATATTTTTATAACAAAGTAATGGATTAATATATTAGATATTTGATATAATAAATTAATAACTATAATGAGTAAATGAAAGAACATCTAATGTATAAATTGTGCTTTATTTGATATTGCTACTACGTACGGAGTACGAAGTATTGTTGGAATATCATAATCAATGTGTGATACGTTGTAAACAGTATAAAGTAATAAAGATGTATGCATTTTATTAAATAAATTTATAATTTACTTTTTTCTCCATAGAAATATGTCGTGTGTTTATAATAATTTGAAATAGTATTGTTCTTTTTATTATTGTTATTAATGTAGTTATTGTTATTTGTTATCATTATACTAATAATAAATATTTTAATTTATTCAGGTCGGGCTAGCCCGTGGGCTTGATCATAAAATCCGTAAAATATTCGGGTCACCATTTATAAGGCTCAAGCCCCGGTCTGTATGCAAAAATGTCAAATCCAAACCTGCTATTTTACAGATGAGTTTTTGCAGGCAGGTTGGATATCCGGACCCGTGATCGGGTCTAATTGAGATAGATGTAGTATTAAATTAAGAAACGTATACGAAGGATCTGTAATCTGTATAATTCGATAAAAATAACCCCAAATATAATTTATTGTCTGAGAAAAAGATCTTCTCATTGCATTCTAAATATGTGAAATACCAGAAATATTCTCACTTTCGTTATTTATTACACATCGTTCAATATTTTACACACTTTCATTAATGGTAATTTAATAAATTTTTACTTTTTTTAACTCTTCTTAAACTCCATGTGAAGTCCACTTTAGAAGTTCTTTCCGTGATATATGAAGTATCCCAAAAATACATTTCTCATTTAATAAAAAATAATATTTTCTCATTCTTTTTAAAGAGATTATAATGGTTTGTGTTATTTGTTTATTCTTAAAATAAATTTTGATAACATAAATTTACTTTGTCTCATATTCTATGGGAAAATAAATACATATTTAATTTGGCACGAACTAATAAGAGAAAAATATTTTATTTGAAAAATTAAGATTGTAATCTATTAAAATAACTTCACACTCATATATACAAAATTCAATTATGGTATGTTTGGAAACATGGATTTGAATTTCAAATTCAGATTTGGCTCAACTTTCATGTTTGGAAAACTTGAAAATTTTGAATTTGGATTTGAGTCAAATTCTTTTCATTCATAACAAAGCTTAATTTGAAATACATGCACCTCCCCTTGTCATTTGAAATTCAAGAATTTCCAATTTTGAAATTGAAATGCATGTTTTGAAATGAATACTAGTTGCCAAATACTATCTTAAGGAAAACACATACATCGTATATATCTATTGAGAATATGGTCCAACAATAAAAGATAATAATGTAGATTAGATCATGACAAAACTTGAACCCAAATAATAAAAATAAAAGGGGAATTTACTTAAATAGCACTAAAACATAATGACTTTCTCTAAATAGCACTACATATGTTTTTTTTCTCAATGTAGCATTTTAGTCATTATCTATTAGTCATTATTCAAGTGAATGTTTGTCATCACTGGTCATTATGGACATTATAGAGTGCTATTTAGGGAAGAAAACAATCTAAGTGCTATTTAGAGAAATGACTTAAGTCTTAGTGCTATTTAGGGCAAATATAATAAAAAGCGCAACTTCAAAGAGCCAACTAAGAATAAGTGGAACAAGGGGATGGGCTCTTTTGACCATAGTGAGTTACCAAGGTGTTAAAGAGAGCAGTTTAGAGTAGATACATTCTCTATGAGCAAGCATCTTCGAGTATACTCCACTTAATCTTTGGGTACATCCCTCTTCACTTCAATCTTACATATTTTCATGGCATTTTATTAGGCCGGAGGGTATGTTCAATCACATAAGCTCCCAACCACACGAGAAAGAAGGGAAGCCGAATGCTACGGGTGGTTGTCAGAAAGAAGAAGCTACAATGCTAAAAGAAGGTTACGAGATGAGCGTGGGGGGTGGTGGTCCTGTCTCTCCAGTTCCTTGCACTGCTGCACGAGGGGCGATGTTGTCGCATACGGAGGGACACCACTTTATTTTGTGTCTCATTTCATGTTCTCATATCATCCGGTCTTATTATCGTACAAACTAAAATTGATATATTAATTGTTAGTTTTATAATACTTTGTATACACAACTAGTATCACACCCGTGCGTTGCACGGGTCATTTTTATGTTATTAAATTCAAATTATTTTTTCAATGATAAAAATAAGATGCAATAGAATATAGAGATTATACTATTTTAAGGTAAAAAACATCACTGCTTTACAAATTTCGAAAGACTTCTTTATAAACTACATTATTGTATAATTTGTGGGAATATTTATAGTATATTTAATTGTAATAGGCTATAGGCTATTATAATTATAATTTTAATAAGAAGGGTTAACTTTTACAAAATTTGGTGTATAATTATTTTTACCATAATTATTTTTTTCGAAATTGGGTGTATAATTGTATAACTTACCTTTTTTAATTATTTCCAATTTTCAAAAACTTACGCTTTACATTTGTATAACTTACCTTTATTAAAAACTTACGCTTTGAATTTGTATAACTTACCTTTTTTAATACGTTAATTATTATAAATATAATAATTATATTAACTTCCAATGGCTTACCATTTTATATTACTCACGTTAATTATTATAAAAATAATTATATTAACTTCCGATGGTTAAAAATGGTAGTTACTTATTCTTACCATAATTTCAGACGTTTCCAATCAGTAGTCAAAATAACGTTGGTTAATTATTAGCATATAATACATTGATTCTAGTTTTATAAAAAACTTACGCTCTTGAATTTTATAACTTACCTTTTTAAATTATTTCAAATTTTCAATACGTTAATTATTATATGTATAATAATTATATTAACGTCACGCTTACCATTTTATATTACTCACGTTAATTATTATAAAAATAATAGCTATATTAACTTCTCACTTACAATACATTAATTATTATAAAAATAATACTTCGTAACTATTATTATATTTATACCTTTTTTAATAATTATAAATCCACAATTTCGGCCACTTACCATTTTAACATCACAATTATTTACTTACTTTTCGGCCATTTTATAATTATTATAAATATAATAATTATAATAATTATTACTACAATTTCATCCACTACAATTATTAACTTACCTTTTTTTAATTAGTTCCAATTTTAAATACGTTAATTATTATTTTTATACTTTTTTTTAATAATTATAGCTTCACAATTTCAGTCACTTACCATTTTAACTTCACAATTATTAACTTATCTTTTGGCCATTTTATAATTATTATAAATATAATAATTATAATAATCATTACTAAAATTTCGGCCACTACAATTATTAACTTACCTTTTTTAATTATTTCCAATTTTCAATACGTTATTTATTACATTTATACCTTTTTTAATAATTAGAACTTCACAATTTCAGCCTCTTACCATTTTAACTTCACAATTATTAACTTACCTTTTGGTCATTTTATAATTATTATAAATATAATAATTATAATAACTATTACTATAATTTCGGCCACTGCAATTATTAACTTACCTTTCGACCATTTTAACTTACCTTTCTTTAATTATTATAAATATTATAATTATAATAATTATTACTATAATTTCGGTCATTTACCATTTTAATTTCGCAATTGCTATTTGTAATTGTCATACTCTTTGGGCGGAAAAACCATATGGTGACTCAATGTCTTTTTAAATAAAGTATGGATTAATTACCAATTATAAACGGTGTCATATTATTTGTTCCTTTTTTAAAATGATTACATGTTAAAACTGGTTATTACCGTGTGATAAAAAAAGGAAGAGTATTTATTATAGCTTTTAAACCATTTTTTAGATTAATAATAATAATTATTTTTTAGATTAATAATATCACGTTTTTAAAAAGTAGTTTTTAAAAATCAAAGATAAAACTGTTCGTATTCAAAAGGAAATTGGGACTTACTTTTTTTTAATTATTTCCAATTATCTTTTTAGTGAAATTGAGTGTATAATTGTACTCCCTCCGTTTTCAAAAACACTTTTCTTTTATTTTTTCACTTTCAACAAAACACTTCCACTTTCTATTAAAAAACCACTTTTACCCTTACTTTTTCATACCCTACCTATCACATCATATTTTTTCTCTAATAACCAATACATCACATCTTACTTTTACCCATCACATCAGGGGCAAATTTGGAAGTCAACTATAATTTTACACTTCCTTATTTTGGCTCCAAGTCAAAATAGGAACCTTTTTTGCAAACGGAGGGAGTATAACTTACCTTTATTAATTATTTCCAATTGGGTGTATAAAAATGACAGTTACGGTATTAAAATACCGTGTGATAAAAAAGAAATAAATTCTGAACGCCCCTACACAAAAAAAGAGGTTAAAATAATGTACGAAATTGTACAATTAGTACACTACATACGAATTGATAAATTCAGTGTGATAAAAAAGGAACTGTATTTATAGCTTTTAAACCATTTTTTTATATTAATTTTTTAAGATTAATAATATTACCTAATAATTAATTTTTAGATTTATAATTTCACGTTTTTTAAAGGCATTGAGTGTAAAAACTAATATTAATTTTAACTTCATAATAATTAACTTGCCATTTGTAAATGTAATAACACATGGAAAATTAAGCACATGCGCAACTTTTTAATAATAATTATTATATTTTTGGCAACTTACCATTTTAAGTGAACAATTGCTATTTGTTAATGTAATAAAAATTACCATTTTAAGTGAATAATTGTCATTTTTGTAAATGTAATAACGCATGGAAAATTAAGCACATGCGTAAGTTTTTAATATTTATTATTATATCGCAATTTACCATTTTAAGTGAACAATTACCATCTATTAATGTAAAAACGCATGAACGGGAAAAACAAAGATTGACTCCATGTCTTTTTAAATAAAGTATGGAAGTATGGATATCTAATCTAAAACAAAAAACACAATTAAAGGCTTTGTGGTTTAGCCATATGAATCTGACTGTCACTCGCGTGGAGTTGGAGTCTAAAAAATTCTAGTAATGTGGTAGATTATTAACCTAGTCTCAAATTAGATCTAGCTCGTTGTACAAGAAAAGAAATTCCGAACTCCGTATGAAAAAGAAGAAGAAAGAAAAATTTTACACTGGTGTGGACGTCTCTCGCTCACTCCATCGAGTAGCTGGATTTCTAAACCCGGTGTAGGCTAACCGGTTGATATACCCGTCGCTCTAATTGGTGAGATCTTCTCGCATTCGCTTCTAAGTTCTTGCCAAATCGAGCGATTTTTGTTTCAATTTATTTCGTTATTTTGTTTCCCCCAATTCGGAAGACATATTAGGTCAAGAGGTCGTGATTATGGGCTTTCATTTGTCATTCCACGCAGGTAAGATTGTCAGCTACATCAATAGATTGTGTTAGACAGAGAGGATTCATAGCAAAAGAAAATGGCAGGGAATTCTTTGATAAATTTTTCCGCAAATTCTACTATTTTGCACGTTGTGCCCAGTAGGCGAAACAGTCAGGTGAATTTCTTGCCATTTTTGAGATCTCCAGAAAGGCCCAAAGGTAGAGTCTTTAGCGTAAAAGCTGTGTCTGCAGATGCTGGTCATAGTCAGGAGCAGACACAAGAACAACCCGGGTTAGATTCTCACCGCAGAAGTATGTTTTCTAATGTTTTGGATGTGCCGAGGAACATTTGGAGGCAGACTCTGAGACCGCTGGGCGATTTTGGGTTCGGGAGAAGGAGCATTTGGGAAGGAGGGGTAGGGTTGTTCCTGGTTTCCGGTGCAATTTTGTTGGCACTCAGCTTGGCCTGGTTGAGAGGGTTTCAGTTGCGGTCAAAGTTCAGGAAATACTTGGCTGTTTTCGAGTTTGAGCATGCTTCTGGAATCTGTACAGGCACGCCTGTTAGGATCCGAGGGGTGAATGTTGGCAATGTTATTAGGGTTAATCCATCATTGAGAAGCATTGAAGCCGTTGTTGAGGTGTGCTAAGTACTTAAACTAGAGTGCCCGTTTGGTATGCATTTTCCGGCATATCAGCCATGATTTTAGTTGCCAAACAATAACTTATTCCATAATCTAAAAAGGTAGTGCAGTTTTTTGTGTGTGTCATTTGTTAGCTTATAAAATTTCATTCGTTGATATCAGTATTTTAACTTAATACTTCAGATAATTCTACTGAATTAGTTAATCCATCCATTTCAACCACAATTTTAGTAGAGTTGGCCATTTTAGACCTTACCAAACGGGCTCCGGATCGCTCTTTTTTTGGCTCGCATTCAGTGTGGATATCTTTATTATTTTGGACCAAAAAATAAATTTTGTAGGTTGAAGATGACAAGATAATCATACCTCGAAATTCCTTGGTTGAGGTGAACCAGTCAGGCCTTCTCATGGAAACTATGATCGATATTACTCCCAGAGACCCAATTCCAACTCCTTTAGTAGGGCCTCTCGATCAAGATTGCCTCAAAGAAGGTTTAATTGTATGTGACAGGCAAAAGATGAAGGGGCATCAAGGGGTAAGTTTAGATGCATTGGTTGGGATATTCACTCGCCTTGGTCGTGAAGCAGAAGAAATAGGTATTGCAAATACATTTTCCTTAGCTGAAAGAGTTGCCTATGCCATTGAGGAGGCTCGTCCTTTACTCGTCAAGGTATAAGGTGCATTTTTCTTTAAGTTTAATTCATTACAGTTTTTGTTCTGAAACTTAGTTCATTAATCAACCGTAAGGTATAGGGTGCATTATTCTCTAACTTCACTTCATAAGAAACTTGAGTCATTATTCTACAGTTAAACTCTTAAAGACTTCATTCTTTCATAGTTTCATATAAATGGTCATGTGAATCCATTGTTTTGAACATGTTTCAACTTTCAACAACACTCTGGACAATGGATTTATTGGACTCCAATGGTATTTAAAATCCAAACACAAACACAAACACAAAGCTAGAATGGTATAGTAGTGTTTCCAAAAGGATAGCTAATTAAGAACCATTCTCAATTCTGAAACTTTGGACACTTAATTTATATTCTCTTCATCCGGATTTTGTGTTCCACTTTCCAAAATACCTCAACTCTGAGGAGTTCTGGTAAAAATAACATAAAATCCTTGAAATTAGCTTTCCTGTTAATGATGACAACAATTCAACTATGCTCTTTAGGGTTTTTCTTAATCATTCATACTTTTTTGTTTTCTAAATGTGGTAGTGGACTAGGCTATTATTAATTCAAGAAACTCCACTTTTAAACATCTGGTTTCACCTCTCAACACAGACACTCTCTTTGTCTTTTACTGATTTCCAGCATTTTCTCAGTTCTCCACATCATTTTGAATCAGTGTGTAGCTTTTAGCATGTTAGAAAATGCATAACAACAACCATACTAACCTTTACTACTTTGAGGCTGAATGCATGAAATTTAAACTGTCAAGCAATTGGTTGTCTAAAACTAAAGTTATAAATTCATGCAATATTATTCTCATATGTATGAATAAACTCATTGCAAGATATTTGCTGGAACCCGTATTTTAATATAATCTCATGTAGCGGTACCTCAGATCAAAGCCATGGCTGAAGATGTTCAACCTTTATTGACTGAAGTTCGTAGTAGTGGATTATTGGGCGAAGTAGAGAGTTTGACAAAAAACTTGACACAAGCTTCTGAAGATCTAAGGTAAAGTATAAATCATAGCTGTTGTTATATCCCCTCCTCCCACCCCACCCCACCCCAAGAACATTTTGATTTTCAAGAACGCTGTGGGTTTATGTTTAGCTAGTTCAGTTATTAACATGCCACAATTTTTCTTCTATCTTTGAGATTATGCTGGGAGTTCTTTCGAGTTTTTAAGGGCTGCATTTGTTTTTAGAATGAAATGATTTGCCATTTTAATAAGAGTTCTCCAGATTTAAAGTACGTCACAATGCTGAATGAGTAGGGAAGAAAAACGAAGAAACAGTGAGAAACCGAGTGTTCATTTAGTGGCATCTTTTTCTTCTCATCAGCCTTATTGCCCTTATCAACTAGAATTTTTATCAAACACTTATCATTCAATCCGTAAATCTATTCTTCTTTTACATTGGCATACCCCTTTTACAGATTTCTGGATTTACATTATTTGTCACTGTTGAAACTGCAGAAACGTGCATTCGTCTGTAATGACTCCTGAAAATACAGAACTAATGAGGAACTGGTTAAATACGCTGGTTTTCACTCTGAAGAACATTGAGGTATTTGCTAATGAAATTTCTTGGATTATCATGCAACCCCGGTTTTCTCATCATGAATTGGAAGTTTTTGCAGAATATAAGCTCGGATGTTTTAGGGTTCACTGGCGACGAAGCCACCAGACGGAACCTGAAAATGCTCATCAAATCACTCAGCAGGCTATTGTGAGAACCCAGAAGCTTATGCGCCACACTTGAATCTTTGAACTAATTGAATCCGAAGTTTGAACTGCATCTGCAGCATGCATCTGATTTGGACGGATGATCATCTGCTGGAGACAGAACTGTTTCGCGCAAATTGTTTAGGTACTTTGGTGATGTTTAGAAGATCAACACACAACTCTTCCTTTGTATCCCCCATTGCTTCTCTTTTAGCTAAAGCCGTGAAGATTACTCAACTCATTCTTGTGTATTCATTTTTTTTAAATTATAATCTTAAATTTCATTACAATCAAAGTGCAAATCATAAATAAATCAAAGAGCAAATCAAAGAGAGGATTGTCATCCCATATGTTTAGACTAGTCGGCCGGTCCCAATCATTCCTAACACCCACCGACGTCCATTCCTTTGTCTTTAGATAATGTTTGGGAACTAGCATTTCATTTCAATTCATGCATTTCTATTTCAAAATTTGAATTCTTGAATTTTAAATTACAATGAGAGGTATATGGGTTTTAAATTAAGCTTTGTTATGAATTAGAGGAATTTGATTCAAATCCAAATCCAGATTTTTTAAATTTCCCAAATAAGAAATTTGAGCCAAATCCGTTTTGAAATCTAAATCTAAATTTCCAAACATGTCATTAAGGAATTTATATCTTTACTCGAACTAGTATTTTTACTCGTGTCATGCACGGGTGTAATGAAATTTTGTTATAAAGAAATCAACATATGTAGCACTCTAAGGCCTAGTTCCGTTCAACTTATTTTTTTATTTTTTCTTATTCTTATTAAAATCAGATCAGATTGAATCAGATCAGATCAGATTGAATCAGATCAGATCCAATCAGATTAGATCCAATCAGATCAGATCAGATCAGAACTTATTAAAATCAGATCCCATGAGAACTTATTATTATTATTATTATTATTGTTCTTAAAAATGAAAAAGAATAAACTTTAGAAACAGGTTAAATAGAAAATGAGAAAGTAATCCTTAATTATTAGACGTCGGAAAAATTAGTTTTAAAATACATTGACAATATCAATCTAATTGTACTTTTAACATATATTTTTATTGCTACTTGTAATTTGAGTTTCTAAAGTTTTGATCTTTTATAAGGATGAGATATTTTAATAAAAATACTATCTTTTCTATATATTGATTATCTAAATTTAATTATTTTTTAATGTATATATAAATTAAATATTTGTTCTAATGTATATATGAAGTAATTCTTAAAATATTAAATTAATATTCTAATTTCACAAAAAAATAATCATAAAATAAAAAATATTATTACACTATAATATGAATGATTATTCTAATATATGTATTAACTAATTTTTTTATTAAAAAATAATCATTAAATAAAAAATATTGATTATATTATAATATGAATTATCATTACAATTTTCAAACGTTATTATAAAGTCAAATCAAAATTATTGATTTGAATTTTAAATCAAATCATAATTAATCAGATCAGACTAGATCAGATTAGATCAGATCCAATCAGATCAGATCCAATGAGATGAGATCAGATCAGATCAAAACTTATTAAAACCAAATCAGATCATAAAAAATAAGTTGAACGGAATGGAGCCTAAGTCACTCAATATTACGCATATAGCACTCCTTAATCTTTTATATGAATTTAGCTATTTATGGTGTCAATATCTTCCAAGCATTCCCTCTAGTTTTTTTTATATTCTACTACTTTTAATTACTCCGGAGTATTTGAATAAACATAGGTTATTCACGTAGCTACTCCTCCTCATACGTGCGACTCATACGTGTGAGAACATCATCCTACGCGGTTTACCATAGCTCTGCGAGATCCTCCACTTACGCAATTTACCCATGCATAATGCCTAAACAAGTTCGTACGTATTAAATTAAATTCCATATTTAACGCCCATGTTTGGCCAGTGTGTTTTGATTTAATAGATTATTCATGAAGATCGATATATATTCTACCGGTTTAAAATATATTTTGTTTACATAATTATATTATATCTAAAAAATATTTTTGAATCTTTATCGATATTTTGAAAAATAAAGTTTTATATGATTTTTAAAAACAATTAATCATTTCTCTTTTATTACTTTTAAATAAAATACTTATAGAATTTTTAGTGCATGTGCATTAACATCTAAAGTATAATTTTTATTTAATAAAATATATCTTATAGTTAAAAAATATTCATATCACACATATTATATCACTACTAGAAAATTAAAATAAATTTATATTTATAGAATGTTAAAAACTTAGAATGTATACGAGCCCATGCGAAGCACGTGGTTGATGCTAATACCATCAGTATAATGTTGTATCTGTTCAAACTTATCTCAATTTTTTAAACATATGTGTTCGATTCGAATACTGGATGTGGAGAATATTGAGATGACTTCTTTGTCATTACGCCAACATATTTTTGTACTTTTTAGAGAAATACTAATTTCACTACAATTTAATATTTGTTCATACTACATACTTTCTTAACTTCTACTCTATCCGTTTCTTAAAACATTTTTTCTTTCATTTTTTTCTCTTTCCCTAAAATACTTATACTTTCTATTAAAAAACTCACTTGTACCCTAGATACCACATCATCTTTTTTCACTAATAATCTACCTATCACATTTTACACATCACATTAAGATAAAATTGAAAAGTCAACCATATGTGTATGTGTGTGTGTATTCACTATGGTGAGACGTTGAGCCTAGTGCTCAAGCCCGCAACCGTTCGTATCATCCCCAACATGGTCGTGTCTCGCGGGTGGCCAATCCACGAGCTGGGCGTCAAGAACGCCTTTCTTCATGGCTCTCTCACAGAAACTGTCTACACGGCACAACCATCTGGGTTTCAAGATGCCGCTCGCCCTCACTACGTCTGCAAACTGAACAAGGCGCTCTATGGTCTGAAACAAGCACCACGAACTTGGTATCAACGGTTCACCGACTTCCTTCTCTCTCTTGGCTTCCGCGGTTGTAAAAGTGGCACCTCCTTGTTTACTTATAGTCAAGGATCACAGATGGCGTTCTTACTTCTGTATGTGGATGACATCATTTTCACATCCTCCACCCAGACTCTCCTTTAGAAAATCAATCAGGGTCTGAAAGGAGAATTTGCTATGACAGATATGGGGGACCTCCACTTCTTCGTGAGGATCAATGTTTAGTGCACGACTCATGGTTTGTTTCTCACATAGACTCAGTTTCTATATGACATTCTTGAGTGTGCAGGTATGCTCTCTTGCAAACCAGTGTCTACCCTTGTTGATACACGCGGGAAGCTATCGGCCTCAGCAGGACCTTCAACGTAGGATCCTACCCTTAGTGTTCGATCGTATGGGCATTATAGTACCTCACCTTCACCCGTCCTAACATCACATATGCCGTCCAAGAGCTTTGTCTCTTTCTCTGTGATCCACGCACGCCACATGTCACAACGATGAAGCGAGTCTTACGGTACCTTTATGGCACACCCTCCCACGGCATCTCCATCTCTCCCATTCCCACGGACTTTATGCGGTCTTACTCGGATGCTGATTGGGCCGGCTGTCCTGACACTCGCCGGTCCACGACTCGATGTTGCATCTTCTTCGGTGACAATCTCATCTCTTGGTCTGCCAAGCGTCAGCAAACCACGTCACGCTCAAGCGCCGAGGCAGAATACAGGGCCATAGCGAATGCTGCAGCCGAAGTTAGTTGGGTGCGCAGCTTACTCCTGGAGCTCCAGTAGCCTCTCAGTCGTTCCACACTTGTGTTTTGTGATAATCTTAGTGCTGCCTGTCTCTCTGCTAATCCACTCAAACACCAACGCACAAACAAATCAAGGTTGACATATACTTTGTTCGAGACAGGGTGGCTCTCGGAAAGATATGTGTTCTCCATGACCCTTCCTCGTTGCAGTATGCAGATATCTTTACAAAGGGTCTCCCAACCGCGGTCTTCTCAAAGTTTCAGGATAGCTTGGGAGTTCAGCAATCCCCACCAGTGCCGTTGGGAGTATGTTAAATATATAGTAGTTACCATACATGTAGAGGTTACATTAATTGTGTTTCCTAACACAACTATGATACTCCTAGTAATCTATTATATAATCCCCTGTAACATTACATTATCATTATTGGAAAATATTCAATCTTTCAGTAGGAAATGTTTATAGAAACAGAGGGAGTATTAAATTTTGTAGATGGAAAAATTGTATCTTTAATCATATATAGCACCACATATATATACCAAACTATCTTTACATAAAAGAGCAGTATAAAGAAAATACTTACGAGTACACAATAAGGAAACAAATAAAAATGATAAAGACGTGCAAGAATCAAGCTTAAGATTTTGCAAGACTAGTAGCGAAATCTTTCCTTATTACGAAAAGATCAACTCTTTTCTAATAACTTCGAAAGCAAATAGAATCAATGGAATGCTTTTGATGAGATTCGAATCTGGGTGAGCTCTTCATTCAAAATCTGTGGGGGGGGGGGGGGGGTAATCCTATTGCAACACAGATCAAGAACGATGTTCATGTTATTACATATTAAAAATCACTTGGTTTGGGTGTGAGTTTTCTTCCAATGATCCAGTCAAGATATTTTTTTGGGTGCTTATTTCTTAACTGAGATCTCAACACACCAATTATGTCAAAGAGAATGTTCCTCACGACATAATGTCGGTACTTAAACCCGGATAGCTCTACAATATACTGCATGCTTTTCAAATGAATCCAAACAAACATGCCTTGCGGCAAACATGACATATTCATTAACCGAAAATAAGGGAATCAAGAGTTGATACTTAAGGATAGAACGATAGTGCATCGTCGATATATGTTGGCTAAATCTGTGTATGGGCATGGCAAGAAGAAAATCTTGGGATGTGCTAAAAAGCAAAAAGTTGCTGTCAGGTACCCCCAGTTTTGTGGTAAGAACTACCGGGTACCCCCAATTTTGAAAATATACTCCCAGGTACCCTGAATTATAAAAAAACATACCAGGAGGGGATTTTCCATCCGTTCTCCATTGGTTCGAGTTTTTCTGTCAAGTTCATCATCATCATCATCCCATCTCCATCTTCTTCGGTCTTCCTCCTCCTCAGTTTCTTCTTTTTCTTCTTCTTTCTTCTTTCTTCTTCTCCTTCTCCTCCTCCTCCTTCCACTCCCAATCTTCCAAACAACAACAACAACAACAATAATAATAATAGAAAGAGAAGAAGAAGAAATAAGGGTGAGGGGTTGGGGGTTTGGAAGATCAAGAGTGGAAGGAGGAGGAGGAGAAGAAGAAGAAGAAGAAGAAAGAAGGAAGAAGAAGAAAAAGAAAAAGAAGAAGAAGAAGAGGATGAGGAAGACGGAAGAAGATGGTGATGGAGATGGAGATGGTGGTGGTGGTGGATGATGATGGACTTGACGGAAAAACTCCAATAGATGGAGAATGGATGGAAAATCCCCTCTTAGTATGATTTTTTATAATTCAGGATACTTGAGAGTGTATTTTCAAAATTGGGGGTACCCGTTAGTTTTTACTACAAAACTAGGGGTACCTGACAGCAATTTTTTGTGCTAAAAAGTCTAGAATAATAAGTCTGGTCTACCTAATTTACACCATCAAGAATCACAAAAAGTGTCACACAATTCATTGCCCTTTGTTAATTTAACTTTTTACTATTAAAATTATTTGAGATCATTTTATTCTTTTAAGTTTACAAAGACTTTCTCTTTCATATTAAATGACTATTATAATTTTTTTGAGACATTAGAAAATGAATAAATATTGACTTATTTTATGTTTACATTTATTCATTTTCAATTTATCTGGAAAGTTATAATGATTAGATAATATAAAAGTTTATCTAATTAAAAATTATTCTATTTACAAATTGGTTTAAACGTAATAAATTAAATATTTCAAAAATACATAAAAAAATTTATTATCAAAATATGAAAAGAAAAATTTATTTTATTAGATACTCCGTAATCAATAAAAAGAAACAAATTAATATAAATTACGCCCTATTTTTTTTTTTTTGAAATCTTTAAAGACATATTCCGGGGTAGTACGGAGTATTTCATTGTGAGGCAACGCACCCGCCAGACGGGTCAACCCACAACGGTAAACCTAATTTGTTTGCCGCTTTGGTGCGCTATCTACCACTCATCCATGGCGGCCGTATTATCGATATCACCCTCTTCTTGCTCCCGCTTCCGCCGTGGGTTTAATCCTCTTCTCTGCTCCAGACAGCGTCGCGCTTCCGCATCACTTTCCGGCAACCGTATTAGAGCTTACAGATTGTTTGTCAGTGAGTGCCCTGGGTGTTCTTTTTTTGCCTTATATCCGTTTTATTCCTGGAATCCGGCTAATATTATCAATTTACGTTGTCAAAAGTATTTTTCCTCACTAGAACGAACACACTCTGAGTAGGCCGTGTTTGTTTTTGGCAGATCTCATGTATGTTCTTTTGGGAAATAAATCGAACACATAGTGTGCTTTGGAATAGGTAACTTGATATTGAACTCATATCTGATTCATTGAAGCTTCTGCAACAAAATTTGATGTCTTTACTTTGCCAGAAATTGCAAAGTCATTTGATTTTAGTAACGGGGAGCGCATCTATAAATGGTACGGCTGATTTATTTAACCATGTTTGTTTTTTTCTTTCTTGGATCTCAGTAGAATGATATTTATCTTCTGTTGTCTTTTTTATATGAACGAATATTTCAAAAATGTATTTTTAGAAACAAGAAAACTAATCCTTGTTGGGTACATATACATGCTGGCATTTCTCTTTTTGTAATTTTCACTGTTTTTAAACAAGTTTTAGATTGTCTTTAGTTGATTGTTTATGAATCTTTGGGACAAGCCTTATATGTGGCAAATCAAGAGAGGTTAGGCGTTAGTGACTAACCTACATTCGAGAGCATTGTTTGCCATTTCATCTCATTCAAAAAGCTTCCACGAAACCCATGAACATTTGCTCAGTGCTTCTTGTTTTATATAAATTGATAAGAGTAACAAAACGTAACCGAAGAATACAAAGGAAGTACCACCTCAGTCCTAATTTATCCTCACATTTTCTTTTTCTGTTTTCATCTTTCCAAATAAGGAATACAACATGTGGTTTGCTTTAGTAGCCAGACAAGAATTGAAATTGCCAAAGTGACCAAAGCGTACACATGGAGTACCACCTCAATCCTAATTTATCTTCACATTTTCCTTGAAATTGCCGAAGAATTTCCATCGGGGCTCTTGGGGTCTTTTGAGACAATTGTTCTATACTTTTATTGTTATTTCTTTTATTTTCTAATTGTGTGATATTTTTCTTCAATTACATTCATGCTCTTTACTCTTGTGGTGATTGGTGTGTGTGTGTGTGTGTGTTTGAAGCTTAGTTGATGTTGCTTAAAGCTAGTTTAGTAAAATTGACACTTATAAATAAAACAATTTTGTCTCTCACATATCATTTTTTGATGACGGGTTTCCAGGCAATGATCTTTTCTAATTTTTAATTATTTAGAGTAATTTATTTCCACCTGAAATCACCCACAAATGCTTACAAATACAGTAATATTTTGGAATATTTTGATGGATTTTCAAGATTAGGGTGGTTGGATTGTGCTCGAAATTTAGGAAATTGTGACTTTTAAAACATAATTTAATATATTGAAGTGCGCGCTTGTGCACACACGCGCGCGCACACACATGTATGTATGTGTGTGTGTATGTATGTGTGTGTGTGTGTATGTATGTATGTATGTATGTATGTATGTATGTATGTATGTATGTATGTATGTATGTATGTATGTATGTATGTATGTATGTATGTATGTATGTATGTATGTATGTATGTATGTATGTATGTATTTATGTATGTATGTATGTATGTATGTATGTA